CTAGAACTGAACTAGAACTGAACTAGAACTGAACTTAGAACTGAACTAGAACTGAAACTAGACTGAACTAGAACTGACTAGAACTGAACTAGAACTGAACTAGAACTGAACTAGAACTGAACTAGAACTGAACTAGAACTGAACTAGAACTGAACTAAGAACTTGAACTAGGAACTGAACTAGAACTGAACTAGAACTGAACTAGAACTGAACTAGAACTGAACTAGACTGAACTAGAACTGAACTAGAACTGAACTAGAACTGAACTAGAACTGAACTAGAACTGAACTAGAACTGAACTAGAACTGAACTAGAACTGAACTAGAACTGAACTAGAACTGAACTAGAACTGAACTAGAACTGAACTAGAACTGAACTAGAACTGAACTAGAACTGAACTAGAACTGAACTAGAACTGAACTAGAACTGAACTAGAACTGAACTAGAACTGAACTAGAACTGAACTAGAACTGAACTAGAACTGAACTAGAACTGAACTAGAACTGAACTAGAACTGAACTAGAACTGAACTAGAACTGAACTAGAACTGAACTAGAACTGAACTAGAACTGAACTAGAACTGAACTAGAACTGAACTAGAACTGAACTAGAACTGAACTAGAACTGAACTAGAACTGAACTAGAACTGAACTAGAACTGAACTAGAACTGAACTAGAACTGAACTAGAACTGAACTAGAACTGAACTAGAACTGAACTAGAACTGAACTAGAACTGAACTAGAAAACTGAACTAGAACTGAACTAGAACTGAACTAGAACTGAACTAGAACTGAACTAGAACTGAACTAGAACTGAACTAGAACTGAACTAGAACTGAACTAGAACTGAACTAGAACTGAACTAGAACTGAACTAGAACTGAACTAGAACTGAACTAGAACTGAACTAGAACTGAACTAGAACTGAACTAGAACTGAACTAGAACTGAACTAGAACTGAACTAGAACTGAACTAGAACTGAACTAGAACTGAACTAGAACTGAACTAGAACTGAACTAGAACTGAACTAGAACTGAACTAGAACTGAACTAGAACTGAACTAGAACTGAACTAGAACTGAACTAGAACTGAACTAGAACTGAACTAGAACTGAACTAGAACTGAACTAGAACTGAACTAGAACTGAACTAGACTGAACTAGAACTGAACTAGAACTGAACTGAACTAGAACTGAACTAGAACTGAACTAGAACTGAACTAGAACTGAACTAGAACTGAACTAGAACTGAACTAGAACTGAACTAGAACTGAACTAGAACTGAACTAGAACTGACTAGAACTGAACTAGAACTGAACTAGAACTGAACTAGAACTGAACTAGAATGAACTAGAACTGACTAGAACTGAACTAGAACTGAACTAGAACTGAACTAGAAACTGAACTAGAACTGAACTAGAACTGAACTAGAACTGAACTAAACTGAACTAGACTTTCTTAAAATCACTGCCCACCTCGATTTCTCTGAGCAAACGTTTAATATGTTTATTTTTGGTGTTTATATTGCGCAGCAAAGCTTCTTGTTATCTAATTCGGATAAGGGATCGGAAGAATCCTTATCGCTGACATCAGCATTGGCAGCATCACGTAAACGTTTTTGTAAAGAAAAAATTTCCTCAGTTAACTAGTAAAGAAATAAATAAAATTTGCTATTTTAATAAAACTGCGGAAATGAACAAAGAAATGAATCATCACCTCTTTGGTTTTATGCTTTAACTCAATTTTGTCATCCTCCAAATTGGCTACCATGCGTTTTAATTTTTCATTTTCATCCATTAAACGATCATGTTGGGATTCTATTAAAACAAGAATTTAGACTAAAAAAATACATAACTTTTGTAACTTACCCAAACTGTCCTTATCTTTAGTTTCTAATTGCTCTTCCAAGTCCTTAACCTGTTCACCTTTGTATTCCAAAACCGCCAATGTCAATTCCAAAGTCTTACGTATTGATTTCTTAGGTAATTCTTCTATGGCCTCTGAAAGTTCCAATAAGGTCTCGTAAAGTTCCTCTTTCTGTTGTTTAGAAAAATCTTTAAATTTTCTTAAAGACACCACATCGGGTAAATCCATGTTTGGAAAAATATAATTATTTTTTTTCTGTTTTATTTAATAATTTATTTCTACCAATATGACATGGTAAATATTCTTGACGGCAATGAATAATGAAAATGAAAAGTATACTTTTTTTCTTTATTCCTTAGATCCTTGAGTGCCTTTACCATGTTACCTTGACTACCGTTTCACTCAAAACACAAGTGTTAACTTACTAGCCGGGAGGGTTTGTGCATGTAAAAGTTTGTACCGGTCTAGTGTCGGTAAAACACATTACCAGCATTAGTGGTGGTTTAATGTTTTGAACCTGTATCACGTGCTGAGTGGGTTCATTGGTTAGGTGTTTTTAAGGGTGGGTTAGTTAGAGTAGTATTTCAGTTTTGTTTTGATTTTTTATTTCGTTTCTTATTTTGATTACCTGTTTAGTTTGTTATTGTTTAGAATAGTCAAGTAAAAGGAGAGTGGTAGAGTAAAGTGTCATTATTTTTGTATGAGTAGTGTACATCATGTCCAGAAGGACATTGACATTGAAATACCGTGTTTTATTGTAAATGTCATTTATATCACAACTTAATGTTTAAATTTCTATTAATTTTTTGTACGTGGCATTCAGTTAAAGTCTAATAAATGTGATTTATTAGACTAGAATCGCAGGTATCAGTGGTATATGTATACAGAGGTGACCGCTCATACACTTTTCTATAGAATAGTAATCACATACAACGGGACCATTAAGACCCAACTGAGTCGGTCATAAGTCGACTGCCTCAATAACCTAATCATATGATAGTATGTACTTCTATAACAGAGTTAGCTTGATCATATTTCTATGGAATAGTGATAGCTCGACCTTTTTGCTCTAAAATACTGATCGTTCCCTCGTTTTTGAACGGTATTGTAGTCGTTCGATTAATTTTTAATTAGAAAGTGATCGCTCGATTAAAGAATAGTGATTGCTCGAGCAGTGTTCTACTGATATTTTTATCAGAATTCAATTCTAAAATGATCTATCGATCAGTTTCCTTTGGAGAAGTAATCGCTCTATAATTGTTCTATAGAACAGAGATAGTTCGAATAGATTTCTATAGATTCGAATATATTTCTATAGAATAGTTATCGCTCAATCACTGTTCTATAGATTAGTGATCAATGATCAATTAGTTTTCTATATAAAAGTGATAGCTTGATCTGTCTATAGAATTGTGATCTATTTTCTTTAGAATATTGATTTCTCTGCTAGTTTTCTATTCAAAGGTGATAGTACGATCAGTTTTATATAGAATATTGATCAATTTTCTATGGAACAATGATCTAGTTTTCTGTAGAATAGTGATCGCTTGATAAGTTTTCTGGATAAGTTTGATAAATACCAATTGATAGGATATTTTAAGGAGAAGTGATCGCCAGTTCCGTTTTGTATAGAAAAGTGATAATGATTTCTCGATGATTTAAATGGAATAGATCTGTTAATAAGATTTAAGAGTTAATCGCTAGATCAGTTTTCTATAGAATAATGATTGCACGATCAGTTCAATAAAATAGATCAATTGATTGGTCCTTTAAAGAATAGTAGTCAGTTTGCTATAGAATATTGCTTGTTCGATAAATTTTCAATATAATAGTGATCGCTCGATCAATTTTCTATAGAATAATGATCTCTTGATCAGTTTTATAAAATAGATGTATCGATAAATTTCCTATCGCATAGGTATTTCTCTATCTGTTTTCTATAGAATAGTGATGGTTTGATCAATTTGCTTTGGAATAGTGTTTGTTCGATCAATTTTCTATAGAATAGGGTTCGTTCGATCAATTTTCTATGTAATAGTTACAGCTCAATCAGTTTTCTATAGAAAAATTATCTCTTTATTAGCTCTATATAATAGAGATCTCTTGATCAGTTTTCTATAGAATAGTTATCAATGAATAAGTTCGATAAGTTTTCTATATAAAAGTAATAGCTTGATTTGTATTCTATAGAATTGTAATCTATTTTTTTAGAATATTGATTTCTGGATAAGTTTTCTATAGAAAAGTGATAGCTCTGCTAGTTTTCCATTGAAAAGTGATCGCACGATCAATTTTTTACAGAATAGTGATAAATTTTATATGGAACAGTGGACTAGTTTTCTGTAGAATAGTGAGCGCTTGGTCAGTTTTATAGAAAGGACTAGTTCAGTTTTGAATGGAATAATGATGGTTCGAGCAATTTTCTATAGAATAATGTTCACTCAATCAGTTCTATGGAATATATTTATTGATTGGTTTTCTATAGAATAGTGATTTTTCAATTAGTTTTCTATGGTTCTAGTTTTCGATTTAATAGTGATCAATTTTCTATGTGATATTAATCGGTCGATCAGTTTTCTGTAGAATAATGATTGCTCGATCAGTTCTATAGAATAGATCAATTGATTTGTCTTTTAAAAAGTAGTGATCAGTTCTATAGACTAGTGATAGTTTGATCAGTTTTCTAAGGAATAATGCTTGTTCGAACAATTTTCTATAAATAAATAGTGATCGCTCGATCCATTTTCTATAGAATAATGATCTCTTGATCAGTTCTATAGAATAGAAAATCTATTGATTGGTTTTCTACACAATAGTGATTGCTCGATAAATTTTCTATAGAATAGTGATCGTTCGATATATTTTCTGTAGAATGGTATCGATCGATTAGTTTTCTATAGAATCGTACACTACTCTATACTATTTCTATAAGATGGATCGATCGATTAGTTTTCCATACATTAGTGATCGCTTGATTAATTCTAGAGAATATTGTTCGTTCGATCTGTTTTGAATTGAATGGTAATTCTCGATTAGTTTTCCATATTATATTAATCATTTAATCTAATGCTGTTAATTTTCAAAAATCCTTTATCTAAAGAATAATAGAATTAATAAATCCACATTTTATCTTTATTTAAGTACATAAATCGGGTAAAGAATTTTCTTTATTTTTATTATCTAACTGCAAAAGCATAAATTCATAAGTTATAATGGTAGCCATCATCTGGAAAAAACAATGAATATTTAAGATTTTTAAAATATATAAATTATAAAATTTATTTATAATAAATAAGGAAATCCAAAGAGAGGATACTTCTAAATACTTTGGTAAAGTTCTAATAAGATGTATGCTGTTAAGAACGAATTCTCTTAGTCTTTTGGGGCATTTTTCGATATTCTAATTGCAAATCTCCATGTTCTATTTGTTTTAAGAAGTATTTCTCTCATATTAAAACAAAAAACTCACCCCAAATAAATTCTTTCGAGTCATTCCATAAAATCGTTTGCCTGTCAAACCGATAAATTCATTTAAAATTTGTGCTCTAAAACGTTGGACCTCTTCGGTCCAACAGCCACTGGGAACCAGATATAAAGTCTGCAAAGGTAACACTGAGGCATCATGAATCTTCGAAGCAAACATAAAAACACAAATGGTACGACTTAAAAGAAATATCAAGGAATACCAAAAGTAAACATAGTTAATCAGATAACGAAGTTTTCTAAAAATAAAGAAACATAGATAAAACATATGTACATATGTTTAAAAATTACATTCAATAAATCTGCTGAATACTCACGTAAATATATTTAATAAATTATTACAAATGAAATACATGTTGTTAAGTGATGATAGAAACACAATTGTTGATACTTGATCATTAACTTTTTCCATGAATTCACACAATATGATGTGTTCACGACGTATTTTATACCAAACAGCATCTGGTACATACTAATGGCAAAAAATAAATATACAGTTATATGTAAATATTATGTAACTAACATGTGTTAAAATCTTTATTTGTAAAATAAATTCAAATTAAAAAAGTTTTTTTTTTTCATATTGTATTTTCTTTTGAATGAATGATAACTTACACAACCCGCCAAAACTTCTATACGAGTATTAAATTGTTGAAAACGTGTTGCCAGTCCCAAACTTATGCACATTATGAAAAAATCCAAAAAATTCCACAAAAACGTAAAAGTACTGCTTAAAAACTTGAAATGTGGGGAAAAATTTAAAGAAAAACTGCAGTTTTAGGTGAATTTGTGTTTAGTATGTATCGTGTTAAACGAAAGCAATAAACGAATTTACATCTATATTAACGCACATATCGAAATATTGTACAAAATCTACAGTCTTTTAATTCTAGTTCTGTTCTAGTTCTGTTCCAGTACTGTTATGTTCTAGTTCTGTTCTAGTTCTGTTCCAGTACTGTTATGTTCTAGTTCTGTTCTAGTTCTGTTCTAGTTCTGTTCTAGTTCTGTTCTAGTTCTGTTCTAGTTCTGTTCTAGTTCTGTTCTAGTTCTGTTCTAGTTCTGTTCTAGTTCTGTTCTAGTTCTGTTCTAGTTCTGTTCTAGTTCTGTTCTAGTTCTGTTCTAGTTCTGTTCTAGTTCTGTTCTAGTTCTGTTCTAGTTCTGTTCTAGTTCTGTTCTAGTTCTGTTCTAGTTCTGTTCTAGTTATGTTCTAGTTCTGTTCTAGTTCTAGTTCAGTTCTAGTTCAGTTCTAGTTCAGTTCTAGTTCAGTTCTAGTTCAGTTCTAGTTCAGTTCTAGTTCTAGTTCAGTTCTAGTTCAGTTCTAGTTCAGTTCTAGTTCAGTTCTAGTTCAGTTCTAGTTCAGTTCTAGTTCAGTTCTAGTTAGTTCTAGTTCAGTTCTAGTTCAGTTCTAGTTCAGTTCTAGTTCAGTTCTAGTTCAGTTCTAGTTCAGTTCTAGTTCAGTTCTAGTTCAGTTCTAGTTCAGTTCTAGTTCAGTTCTAGTTCAGTTCTAGTTCAGTTCTAGTTCAGTTCTAGTTCAGTTCTAGTTCAGTTCTAGTTCAGGTTCTAGTTCGTTTCTAGTTCTGTTCTAGTTCTGTTCTAGTTCTGTTCTAGTCTGTTCTAGTTCAGTTCTAGTTCCGTTATAGTTCTGTTCTAGTTCTGTTCTAGTTCTGTTCTAGTTCTGTTCTAGTTCTGTTCTAGGTTCTGTTTCTAGTTCTGTTCTAGTTCTGTTCTAGTTCTGTTCTAGTTCTGTTCTAGTTCTGTTCTAGTTATGTTCTAGTTCTGTTCTAGTTCTGTATAGTTTCTAGTTCTGTTCTAGTTCTGTTCTAGTTCTGTTCTAGTTCTGTTCTAGTTCTGTTCTAGTTCTGTTCTAGTTCTGTTCTAGTTCTGTTCTAGTTCTGTTCTAGTTCTGTTCTAGTTCTGTTCTAGTTCTGTTCTAGTTCTGTTCTAGTTCTGTTCTAGTTCTGTTCTAGTTCTGTTCTAGTTCTGTTCTAGTTCTGTTCTAGTTCTGTTCTAGTTCTGTCTAGTTCTGTTCTAGTTCTGTTCTAGTTCTGTTCTAGTTCTGTTCTAGTTCTGTTCTAGTTCTGTTCTAGTTCTGTTCTAGTTCTGTTCTAGTTCTGTTCTAGTTCTGTTTCTAGTTCTGTTCTAGTTCTGTTCTAGTTCTGTTCTAGTTCTGTTCTAGTTCTGTTCTAGTTCTGTTCTAGTTTTATTCTAGTTCTGTTCTAGTTCTGTTCTAGTTCTGTTCTAGTTCTGTTCTAGTTTTGTTCTAGTTCTGTTCTAGTTCTGTTCTAGTTCTGTTCTAGTTCTGTTCTAGTTCTGTTCAACAAAATACTATAAAGTATTGCCGAAGTCGACAGTCTTGTGCAAAAAATTTATTAAAAAGAGGTTTTTGAATTTAATGATAAAGACATAAGACTTTCCTTAATAGTAATTGAACACAAACAGAAATTCGTATCTCAACCACAAGCAAAAATAAATTAATTCTTTTCACAAAAAAATTTACTTCTCTTAAAGTTTTGTTTAAGTTTCCCTACTAACGTGAACATTTTTTGCGTGCTTTGAGTAATTTTTGCCAACATTTAGTGCTAAAAGTAGAAAAGTGTCTTCCATGAAAAAGTTATAGTTTTAGTAAAAATAAAAATCAATGAAAAAATAAATTGATATTCAATACAAATGCATAAACAGCCACAAATATATTGTAGGGAAAATATGTAAAAATATCTGTGAATATATCCAGCTGTATATAGTCCTTGAAAGAGTATTTTTCTTCATCGGGATGGCAGTGTATACGACGCATACGGAAATTATAATAACCGGAAGCATAAAATAAACAATGTTCCACTATATTTATACAAAGAATAAGGAAGACACGCACATGCATGCCCAAAAATAAAATGAAAAATTGTCTTTAATTAGTCAAAATACTAACAAATTGAAAATATTTGTTGAGATAAAGGTGTTTATTGGTGTAAGAGAATTTTTTCTGTTAAACATGTATTACGTGTTTTTTCAGAACTTACCCAAAGCCGTTATCCAAAAACCAATTAGTAGTGTATGTAATTGTTTACGTAATGACCATTTAGGTGGTTTATAGGGAGGCATTAAAAACAGCAAATCGATACGTGTCCAATAATGTATTAATTGTGGCCAATTTCTGGCTAAATTTAAGAAATTTATGCAAATAATAAAACACATGTAAAAGAAAACAATTCCAACTGTAAGAAAGAAGAAGGGCGAGGAAAATGTGAGAATTTTATTTTCATATTTAAAAATAAATCATAAAGAAAAACGAAGCTTGAATGATCAAGAAGACTTTCCTTAATGGATGTGGTAAATAAATATGGATATTTGGTTCAATGTAAAAAAAAATAAAATAATGCGCTCTAATTCAGTTCTAGTTCAGTACTAATTCAGTTCTAGTTCGGTACTAATTCAGTTCTAGTTCTAGTTCAGTTCCAGTTCAGTTCAGTTCAGTTCAGTTCAGTTCTAGTTCGGTTCTAGTTCAGTTCTAGTTCAGTTCTAGTTCAGTTCTAGTTCAGTTCTAGTTCAGTTCTAGTTCAGTTCTAGTTCAGTTCTAGTTCAGTTCTAGTTCAGTTCAGTTCTAGTTCAGTTCTAGTTCAGTTCTAGTTCAGTTCTAGTTCAGTTCTAGTCAGTTCTAGTTCAGTTCTAGTTCAGTTCTAGTTCAGTTTAGTCGTTCTAGTTCAGTTCTAGTTCAGTTCTAGTTCAGTTCTAGTTCAGTTCTAGTTCAGTTCTAGTTCAGTTCTAGTTCAGTTCTAGTTCAGTTCTAGTTCAGTTCTAGTTCAGTTCTAGTTCAGTTCTAGTTCAGTTCTAGTTCAGTTCAGTTAGTTCTAGTTCAGTTCTAGTTCAGTTCTAGTTCAGTTCTAGTTCAGTTCTAGTTAGTTCTAGTTCAGTTCTAGTTCAGTTCTAGTTCAGTTCTAGTTCAGTTCTAGTTCAGTTCTAGTTCAGTTCTAGTTCAGTTCTAGTTCAGTTCTAGTTCAGTTCTAGTTCAGTTCTAGTTCAGTTCTAGTTCAGTTCTAGTTCAGTTCTAGTTCAGTTCTAGTTCAGTTCTAGTTCAGTTCTAGTTCAGTTCTAGTTCAGTTCTAGTTCAGTTCTAGTTCAGTTCTAGTTCAGTTCTAGTTCAGTTCTAGTTCAGTTCTAGTTCAGTTCTAGTTCAGTTCTAGTTCAGTTCTGGTTCAGTTCTAGTTCAGTTCTAGTTCAGTTCTAGTTCAGTTCTAGTTCAGTTCTAGTTCAGTTCTAGTTCAGTTCTAGTTCAGTTCTAGTTCAGTTCTAGTACAGTTCTAGTTCAGTTCTAGTTCAGTTCTAGTTCAGTTCTAGTTTAGTTCTAGTTCAGTTCTAGTTCAGTTCTAGTTCAGTTCTAGTTCAGTTCTAGTTCAGTTCTAGTTCAGTTCTAGTTCAGTTCTAGTTCAGTTCTAGTTCAGTTCTAGTTCAGTTCTAGTTCAGTTCTAGTTCAGTTCTAGTTCAGTTCTAGTTCAGTTCTAGTTCAGTTCTAGTTCAGTTCTAGTTCAGTTCTAGTTCAGTTCTAGTTCAGTTCTAGTTCAGTTCTAGTTCAGTTCTAGTTCAGTTCTAGTTCAGTTCTAGTTCAGTTCTAGTTCAGTTCTAGTTCAGTTCTAGTTCAGTTCTAGTTCAGTTCTAGTTCAGTTCTAGTTCAGTTCTAGTTCAGTTCTAGTTCAGTTCTAGTTCAGTTCTAGTTCAGTTCTAGTTCAGTTCTAGTTCAGTTCTAGTTCAGTTCTAGTTCAGTTCTAGTTCAGTTCTAGTTCAGTTCTAGTTCAGTTCTAGTTCAGTTCTAGTTCAGTTCTAGTTCTGTTCTAGTTCAGTTCTAGTTCAGTTCTAGTTCAGTTCCAGTTCAGTTCTAGTTCAGTTCTAGTTCAGTTCTAGTTCAGTTCTAGTTCAGTTCTAGTTCTGTTCTAGTTCTGTTCTAGTTCTGTTCTAGTTCTGTTCTAGTTCTGTTCTAGTTCTGTTCTAGTTCTGTTCTAGTTCTGTTCTAGTTCTGTTCTAGTTCTGTTCTAGTTCTGTTCTAGTTCTGTTCCAGTTCTGTTCCAGTTCGTTCTAGTTCTGTTCTAGTTCTGTTCTAGTTCTGTTCTAGTTCTGTTCTAGTTCTGTTCTAGTTCTGTTCTAGTTCTGTTCTAGTTCTGTTCTAGTTCTGTTCTAGTTCTGTTCTAGTTCTGTTCTTGTTCTAGTTCTGTTTCTAGTTCTGCTCTGTTCTGGTTCTGTTCTAGTTCTGTTCAAGTTCCGTTCTAGTTCTGATCTAGTTTTGTTCTAGTTCTATTCTAGTTTTGTACTTGTTTATTATCATTCGAATGATTTAAACTAAATAAATTTTTTGTTTTACCTTATAAAGTGTGTAAAAATATCTTCAACAAATGTTAAATATATTTAAATACTCAGAAAGCGAAAATATCTTTAATAAACTTTTCAAAATACTTATTGATTTACCTATATTTTGGCATTTATGCCACTTTTAAACATTTGTGCTGTAAAATGCATTGTCTTCCATCCACCAAATATGAAAAATAATGCCGTTGTTGTCATGGCCCAGCAGGGTACATTGAATTTCAAACGATATGGATTGTATTCCCACGTATTCACCAATGGCATTACACCAAATATATGAGCAAACAATAAACCTAATGATAACAATATTCAAAAGAGGATTTACTGAATTTACAGGGAATAAAACAAATACATAGTAGTTGTTAAAAACGTTTCACTTACATGGCCTGGTGGCACGATGAAAAGTGTCCAAATGTTTAAAGGATTTAACAGAATGTAAAATAAAAAAATTACGAGAGTTTTCTTTGTGCAAATGATTGTTTTGTCTTAATTTCTGCCAAATTAAATTTCTACCGAAACTCATGATTTTGCGTTGTGAAATGGTCAATTGAAAAACACAAACTAGGAGGTTTTATTGCCATTTTGGATGTAACGTAAAGGAGTTGTTGTTTGTAGAATTTTGTTAAATTTCTGTTATTGCATGTTGATTTTTGTTACATGATAATCATTTAAAATGTACAGTTTAATTAACAGTTTTAAATAAATATTTATTTACTTTTAAGTGTTAATTTATTTGAAATAAAAATTACACATTAGGGAAATATGTGGATTTATTTAAACAGTTTTGTTTGTTCTTCTGGGATGTTCTGTTTTTGAGTTGTGGCGTTTTAATATTTGTTAAATAAATACAAATACAATTTTTATATGGACTGTAAATTAGTTTTTAATTCCATTGTGTCAACATTCAAATTCCATTCGAGAATATTCCAAGAACTGAAACTACGCAGATAAATTGCATAGTTTTAGGAGTTGATTAATAAAAATATTACTGCATATAATTAAATAAATTTTTAATTTACCAGTTTTTGAGCGAAAAATATATCTTTTCTAGCAATTCACTATAACGAATAGTTCAGGAACTACCCGATAACTCTTTTTCCAAATACTCATATTATTCATTATATGCTCCTATGTGTGTCATTAAATTTGTCCAGTGTGTTCATGTCTTAAATTTTCATTAAATATTTATTTAATTTTTTTTCTCTTTTCTATTGCAAAATAAATAAATAATTCTTGTGTTAATGTTTACTTATTTCTTGTGGCATTTTCGTTTTAAGACCGTAAGAAAATTTTATGTTTTATTGACTTTAAGACTCTTATATACACATTCGTTAAATATATAATCCATCCTCTTATTTATTTTTTAAATTGGAATAATATTTTGTATTTAAAAAAATTATTGCCTTTTTGAGCTTTCCAGAAAAAAAGAATTAAAAGGTGTTTAAGCTGCTTTCCCAGTAAAGCTGGTGTTAAGTATCTTTGTATAATAAATAAAGTGTTTTAATCATATTTTTCAATGTATTTTGTAGTCTAGCAGTTCTTATACGCTTTTCAATAATTTCAAATGAATTTTGACATTTTTATACATTAAATGGGAATTTAGTCTTGTAAGAAAAAGTTTGCAGACAGATTTAAAAGAATATATAATTTTAATTCCATTAATATCCCATAGTGCACAGTAATATTAACTGAACTATTGTTACAGTTTTTGAACAAAAAATAGACAGCACATAATTAGGCTTAATAACTGTACAATGATGTGTAAATATTTTTAATAAGACCAGATATGCAACTAATTTTTGGACTATAGTCTAGTCCACACTCTACACTACAGTCAATAGTCTGTAGTCTAGTCTATAGTGTACTATATAGTCTAGTCTATAGTTTAGTCTATAGTCTAGTCTATAGTCTGGTCTATAGTCTAGTCTATAGTCTAGTCTATAGTCTAGTCTATAGTCTAGTCTATAGTCTAGTCTATAGTCTAGTCTAGTCTATCTAGTCTAGCTATCTATAGTCTAGTCTATAGTCTAGTCTATAGTCTAGTCTATAGTCTAGTCTATAGTCTAGTCTATAGTCTAGTCTATAGTCTAGTCTATAGTCTAGTCTATAGTCTAGTCTATAGTCTAGTCTATAGTCTAGTCTATAGTCTAGTCTATAGTCTAGTCTATAGTCTAGTCTATAGTCTAGTCTATAGTCTAGTCTATAGTCTAGTCTATAGTCTAGTCTATAGTCTAGTCTATAGTCTAGTCTATAGTCTAGTCTATAGTCTAGTCTATAGTCTAGTCTATAGTCTAGTCTAGTCTAGTCTATGTCTAGTATAGTCTAGTCTATAGTCTAGTCTATAGTAGTCTATAGTAGTCTATAGTCTAGTCTATAGTCTAGTCTATAGTCTAGTCTATAGTAGTCTATAGTCTAGTCTATAGTCTAGTCTATAGTTAGTCTATAGTCTAGTCTAGTCTAGTCTATAGTCTAGTCTATAGTCTAGTCTATAGTCTAGTCTATAGTCTAGTCTATAGTCTAGTCTATAGTCTAGTCTATAGTCTAGTCTATAGTCTAGTCTATAGTCTAGTCTATAGTCTAGTCTATAGTCTAGTCTATAGTCTAGTCTATAGTCTAGTCTATAGTCTAGTCTATAGTCTAGTCTATAGTCTAGTCTATAGTCTAGTCTATAGTCTAGTCTATAGTCTAGTCTATAGTCTAGTCTATAGTCTAGTCTATAGTCTAGTCTATAGTCTAGTCTATAGTCTAGTCTATAGTCTAGTCTATAGTTAGTCTATAGTCTAGTCTCTAGTCTAGCTATAGTCTAGTCTATAGTCTAGTCTATAGTCTAGTCTATAGTCTAGTCTATAGTCTAGTCTATAGTCTAGTTCTATGTCCTAGTCATTAGTCTAGTCTATAGTCTAGTCTATAGTCTAGTCTATAGTCTAGTCTATAGTCTAGTCTATTAGTCTAGTCTATAGTCTAGTCTATAGTCTAGTCTATAGTCTAGTCTATAGTCTAGTCTATAGTCTAGTCTATAGTCTAGTCTATATAGTCTAGTCTATAGTCTAGTCTATAGTCTAGTCTATAGTCTAGTCTATAGTCTAGTCTAGTCTAGTCTAGTCTATTTATAGTCTAGTCTATAGTCTAGTCTAATAGTCTAGTCTATAGTCTAGTCTATAGTCTAGTCTATAGTCTAGTCTATAGTCTAGTCTATAGTCTAGTCTATAGGTCTGTCCTATAGTCTAGTCTATGTCTAGTCTATAGTCTAGTCTATAGTCTAGTCTATAGTCTAGTCTATAGTCTAGTCTATAGTCTAGTCTATAGTCTAGTCTATAGTCTAGTCTATAGTCTAGGCTATAGTCTAGTCTCTATAGTCTAGTCTATAGTCTAGTCTATAGTCTAGTCTATAGTCTAGTCTATAGTCTAGTCTATAGTCTAGTCTATAGTCTAGTCTATAGTCTAGGTCTATGTCTAGTCTAAGTCTAGTCTATAGTCTAGTCTATAGTCTAGTCTATAGTCTAGTCTATAGTCTAGTCTATAGTGTAGTCTATAGTTTAGTCTATAGTCCTAGTCTATAGTCTAGTCTATTAGTCTAGTCAGTCTATTCTAGTCTATAGTCTAGTCTTATAGCTAGTCTAGTCTAGTCTAGTCTATAGTCTAGTCTATAGTCTAGTCATAGTCTAGTCTATAGTCTAGTCTATAGTCTAGTCTATAGTCTAGTCTATAGTCTAGTCTATAGTTAGTCTATAGTCTAGTCTATAGTCTAGTCTATAGTCGTCTATAGTCTCGTCTATAGTCTAGTCTATAGTCTAGTCATAGTCTAGTCTATAGTCTAGTCTATAATCTAGTCTATAGTCTAGTCTATAGTCTAGTCTATAGTCTAGTCTATAGTCTAGTCTATAGTCTAGTCTATCGTCTAGTCTATAGTCTAGTCTATAGTCTAGTCTATAGTCTAGTCTATAGTCTAGTCTATAGTCTAGTCTATAGTCTAGTCTATAGTCTAGTCTATAGTCTAGTCTATAGGTCTAGTCTATATTTAGTCTATAGTGTAGTCTATAGTCTAGTCTATATTCTAGTCTATAGTCTAGTCTATAGTCTAGTCTATAGTCTAGTCTAAGTCTAGTCTATAGTGTAGTCTATAGTGTAGTCTATAGTTAGTCTATAGTCTAGTCTATAGTCTAGTCTATATTCTAGTCTATATTCTAGTCTATATTCTAGTCTATAGTCTAGTCTGAGTCTAGTCTATAGTCTAGTCTATAGTCTAGTCTATAGTCGAGCTCTATAGTCTAGTCTATAGTCTAGTCTATAGTCTAGTCTATAGTCTAGTCTATAGTCTAGTCTATAGTCTAGTCTATAGTCTAGTCTATAGTCTAGTCTATAGTCTAGTCTATAGTCTAGTCTATAGTCTAGTCTATAGTTTAGTCTATAGTCTAGTCCTATTCTAGTCTATAGTCTAGTCTATAGTCTAGTCTATATTCTAGTCTAGTCTAGTCTATAGTCTAGTCTATAGTGCTAGTCTATGTCTAGTCTATAGTCTAGTCTATAGTGTAGTCTATAGTCTAGTCTATAGTCTAGTCTATATCTAGTCTATAGTTCTAGTCTATATTCTAGTCTATATTCTAGTCTATAGTCTAGTTCTATAGTCTAGTCTATATTCTAGTCTATAGTCTAGTAGTCTATAGTCTAGTCTATAGTCTAGTCTATAGTCTAGTCTATAGTCTAGTCTATAGTCTAGTCTATAGTCTAGTCTATAGTCTAGTCTATAGTCTAGTCTATAGTCTAGTCTATAGTCTAGTCTATAGTAGTCTATAGTCTATAGTCTAGTCTATAGTCTAGTCTATAGTCTAGTCTATAGTCTAGTCTATAGTCTAGTCTATAGTCTAGTCTATAGTCTAGTCTATAGTCTAGTCTATAGTCTAGTCTATAGTCTAGTCTATAGTCTAGTCTATAGTCTAGTCTATAGGTCTAGTCTATAGTCTAGTCTATAGTCTAGTCTATTCGAGTCTATAGTATAGTCTATAGTCTAGTCTATAGTACTAGACTATAGTACTAGTCTATAGTCTAGTCTATAGTCTAGTCTATAGTCTAGTCTATAGTCTAGTCTATAGTCTAGTCTATAGTCTAGTCTATAATCTAGTCTATAGTCTAGTCTATAGTCTAGTCTATAGTCTAGTCTATAGTCTAGTCTATAGTCTAGTCTATAGTCTAGTCTATAGTCTAGTCTATAGTTCTAGTCTATAGTCTAGTCTATAGTCTAGTCTATAGTCTAGTCTATAGTCTAGTCTATATTCTAGTCTAATTCTAGTCTATAGTCTAGTCTATAGTCTAGTCTATAGTCTAGTCTATAGTCTAGTCTATAGTCTAGTCTATGCTAGTCATATAGTCTAGTCTATAGTCTAGTCTATAGTCTAGTCTATAGTCTAGTCTATAGTCTAGTCTATAGTCTAGTCTATAGTCTAGTCTATAGTCTAGTCTATAGTCTAGTCTATAGTCTAGTCTATAGGTCTAGTCTCTATAGTCTAGTCTATAGTCTAGTCTATAGTCTAGTCTATAGTCTAGTCTATAGTCTAGTCCTTATCTAGTCTATAGTCTAGTCTATAGTCTAGTCTATAGTCTAGTCTATAGTCTAGTCTATAGTCTAGTCTATAGTCTAGTCTATAGTCTAGTCTATAGTCTAGTCTATAGTCTAGTCTATAGTCTAGTCTATAGTCTAGTCTATAGTCTAGTCTATAGTGTAGTCTATAGTGTAGTCTATAGTGTAGTCTATAGTCTAGTCTATAGTGTAGTCTATAGTCTAGTCTATAGTCTAGTCGATAGTCTAGTCTATAGTCTATTCTATAGTCTAGTCTAGTCTAGTCTAGTCTATAGTCTAGTCTATAGTCTATTCTGTAGTCTAGTCTAGTCTAGTCTATAGTCTAGTCTATAGTCTAGTCTATAGTCTAGTCTATAGTCTAGTCTATAGTCTAGTCTATAGTATAGTCTATAGTCTAGTCTATACTCTAGTCTATAATCTAGTCTATAGTCTAGTCTATAGTCTAGTCTATAGTCTACTCTATAGTCTAGTCTATAGTCTAGTCTATAGTCTAGTCTATAGTCTATAGTCTAGTCTATAGTCTAGTCTATTTTATTCTAACGAAATAACAAACTGAATGAGTGACATTTAATTTGTTCCTGAAAATTATTCATACGCCTTAAATATTTTGAGAATATAAGATATGTATACTAAACTTATGATTGATGTGTAATTGCAGTTTGTTAGAAATATCAATCATACGTAACCAATTTTATTGTCATAAAAACACTTTACCTTCAAATTTTTCATTTGCTAAAAATTTACATACGGTCTTCCTAAATTACTATGAACATTCAACATGTTGGCACCTTTTTCTGTACGTTACATACTCTTGTCTGCAGTTTTTAGCAATATTTGCATGACAATCGTTTATAAAACTGTTGTTGTTGTGCTTGCAAACTACCCGCCATTTAGTTAATCAAATATTTATAATAATGTGGTATTTTATTTTGTGATAAACAAAATAAAAACAATAACAAAATACAGAAAAACCTTTGAGTATTTTAACAAATTTAACATAACCTTTCATTGCCTGCAACCAGTTTAAAACGTCAACAACCGACATGTTTGTTTGTTAGCAATGAAAAATCATTAAAAAATGTTGTCTCGTGAAAAATTACAAAAATTTTTTAAAAACAATCCAGACGGTTTAACGAAAAGTAACAATATTAGCAATTATTTTAAAGTTGTCATGAATAATCAAGTGCAGAATATAAATGTTTTAAATAACAAATTAAATAGTGATGATGAACAAAGTTTAAGCAAACCTTCAGCGAAGAGATTCTATAGTGTCGAAGAGGTGGAAGATGTTGAGTTTTTATCCGATAATCGTTATATTAGTGATGTTGATACTAATCGTACTTTGACCTTGAGACACAACAAGACTCCGGTGGAAAATGTTTCAGTGCCAGAAGATAGTTTTAGTGTTATTAAACCGAATAAAAATTATGTTGTCGAGGAGAATTTCAATGAAGAGGATGAATTTGAAATTAAAAATAGCACTGAAGATACTTTCCACAGGGCAGTGAGTCCAAGTAAGTTAATGTAAAACGACCTTCTGACAAAGGTCTTATGTAAAGTTCGTTTTAACAATATTATTTACAGTTCTCTTCTTGGGCCAATGTTTTGCCTTAATGCCTGTTATGGGTGTTTTAAATCCAAATCCAAAACGTTTAAAATTTTCCTATAAATCTCTACAAGTTATTTTCACAATATTTTTCTTGTGCTCCAGCTCTATACTGACCTTAACTATGCTGAAGTTTTTAGTTAAAGTTGGCATTAATGCCAAGAATTTTGGTAAGTCTGTTAATATAAATACTATACTACAGAATTACAATTAATTTCCCAATAATTTCCGTCCAGTGGGTTTGGTTTTCTTTAGCTGTGTTCAGTGCTCCACTTTACTTTTTGCCTCTTTGGCTCCACGTTGGCCCAATATAATGCGTTATTGGTCTCGAGTGGAAACAACTTTCACCCAAAAACCCTATGAAATGCCAAAAAAATCATTGGCCAGTAGAGTGAGAGTTTCAGCATTATTGATCATAATTGGTTCAGCTGGTGAGTACAAAGGGAAATTAAAATATTTCATTAATTTTTTTTATTATTTGGGGAATTTTTAGTGGAACATGCTTTGTATTTGTGCTCGGCCGTTATTTCCTATAGGAGAGGAATTGAGTTATGTGCAACTGTACGAAATTATACCGAAACGATTTCATTCGAAGATTATATTCATCGAAATTATAATTATGTTTTTGAAATTTTACCTTATAATATGTCAGTCGGCATTTTTATATTGGTGAGTTTGAGACGGATTTATTATCCGTTCGTGTAAAAACGTTTTTTTTTTTTTAATTATTATGGAGTACAGTCTATAATCTGGAGAATCGTCTAGTCTATAGACAAAGTACTATCTAGACTAATCTGTAGTAATTATTATGGAGTACTGTCTATAATCTGGAGAATCGTCTAGTCTATAGACAAAGTACTATCTAGACTAATCTGTCGTAAGGGATACAGACTAGACTTAGGTCAAGGCTATTGGCTAGTCTGGAGTATATTCTATATAGTCTATCGTTTTTTCTATTGACTAATTAATAGCTATAGTCTGTACCATAGTCTAGCCTATAGTCCGAACTATAGTCTAGTTTATAGTCTGGACTTTAGTCTAGTCTATAATCTGGACCATAGTCTCGTTTATAGACTGAACTATAGTCTAGTCTATAGTCTGGACTGTAGTCTGGACTATAGTCTAACCTATAGTCTGGACTACATTCTAGTCTATATTCTGGACTATAGTCTATAGACTGGACTATATTCTAGTCTATACACTGGACTATAGTCTATTCTATACTATTGTCTGGATTATAATATATTCTATATTCCGGACTATAGTCTAATCTCTAGTCTGAATAATAGTCTAACGTCTGAACTATAGTCTAGTCTAGTCTATAGTGGGGACTATAATCTGCAGTTCAGTCTAGTCTATATTCTGGACTATAGTCTAGTCTATAGTCTGGACCATAGTATATAGTCTAGTCTATATTCTGGACTACAGTCTATAGTCTAGTCTATAGTCTAGTCTATAGACTAGACTATAGTCTAGTCTATAGTCTAGTCTATAGTCTAGTCTATAGTCTAGTCTATAGTCTAGTCTATAGTCTAGTCTATAGTCTAGTCTATAGTCTAGTCTATAGTCTAGTCTATAGTCTAGTCTATAGTCTAGTCTATAGTCTAGTCCAGGGGTCGGCAAACTTTTGAGTCTGAAGAGCCAAAATTTACAGTTTACAAAACATGGGTTTTAAAAGAGCCACAAAATGTTTGTTGATTAAAACTTTACAAATACTTTATGAATTCACTTCAAAAACATATTTTTTGTTTAATTATCTACAAGACGATTCTGCAAGGAATCTTTCTTATAGATTTTTGACTACAAACACTTTTAGAATTTTTATGGGTCATTCGAATGCGTTTTTTAACACTTGTTATATAAATATATAACAGTTTATTAGAGTGGAGCGACAGTGATACAATTTAAAATGCATTTGTCATAATTCAGTATGTATATTAATTAGGCAGCAATCGAGATAAAATTTTGCACAAGCTTTTTATACAAACAGAAATTATACTGTGATGTATTGCGGACATTGAACCATAATTGACCAACCCCAATATAAGGTTCCATTCAGAAAATTACTCTAACGATCATAATTGACTTAACAGTAGCAGTATAGAGACGAAATTCGACATAAACAAGTTGTATAAGAACAAAAATCTATCTTCCAAATTTGATTTTAACACTCATAATTGGCTTAATAATGACAATTTTATGACGAAATTCAACACAAACAGGAACAATAATCACTTTACCAAATTTGGTGACGATCGGCTCATAATTGATCCTACCCCCCATATTACATCCCCATTAGAAAATGTCCCTATCGCTCTTAAGTGACTTAATAATAGCAGTAAGCGACGAAATTCGACACAAACAGGTTTTATAAGAACAAAAAATATCTGTACCAAATTTAAAAAGGATGGATTCAAAATTGACCCTTCCCCCCATATGGAGTCCACTTTCGAAAGTTCCGACTTACAACAGGCTAAAATACAAGTATAGTGATGAAAATCAACACAAACAAAACTTCATTACCAAATTTTGTAAGGATGGGTCCTTAATACGCTTTCTGGTCCCTTATTTATAGGCAAAAATTTTATGTCAAAAATATATCAATCTTTCATAGATCACTGTCATTAAAATGTGCAATATACAAAAATTTATAATTTTTTGCACCTTTTTATAAAAAAAAGATTAAAGTTTAAAGTTTTGAGATAGACTAAGTTTTTAGTATTTAACTGTATCAAAATTCTCCACATTATTAATTAATTACTATATTTTAAATTTCCAAAATATATGTTTTAAATCGAAAAACACGAAAACTTCGGAATGTATGATCATGATTTACATCTTATCTAATGGCACCTCGTAGGATCACTGATATGATACCCCATTCGTTTATAGGGAACTTTTCAATTAACACTTTAAAGAATTAAACATTTTCTTACAATATTAACTTGTACATAGAACAAATGCAATGGGAGTGATAGGTTTGTATGCCTTTAGAAAGCTTGGATCATAACTTGTTGTTTAAAGTTTCAAAAATGACTCTAAATTTTCATTTGTTAGTTGGCTTTTTACCTAAATCTTCCAACTTGCTTTTAAACTTTGACAATTTTCCACAACATAAAGCTTTACTTTTTAAATTGATCAACTGCATTTCTAGAAATCCAATACCAATTTCAAATGGCTCAATGAGGATTTATTCTCAAATGTACAATTGTAGGGGCAAATAAAAGCAAGGAAATGAGCGAAAAGCTAATTGTGTTCTTTCTTTCTCACTCAAAAAGTATTTGTTTTTGTATTGTTCATGCACAGAACGATTAAGCAAAGTTAAAAAGTTTTGTATATTGTAGAAACGTTTGCGAAGTGTTTTGTTAGTTTTAATACATTGCTCGTTAATCGATTCGGAAAGATTTTAAAATATGCATACAAATATTTTTTTATAAAATAAATAAAATTTGTGTATGAAACTAAAGAGCCACAGCTCCACATCCAAAGAGCCGCATTTGGCTCGCGAGCCATAGTTTGCCGACCCCTGGTCTAGTCTATAGTCTAGTCTATAGTCTAGTCTATAGTCTAGTCTATAGTCTAGTCTATAGTCTAGTCTATAGTCTAGTCTATAGTCTAGTCTAGTCTAGTCTATAGTCTAGTCTATAGTCTAGTCTATAGTCTAGTCTATAGTCTAGTCTATAGTCTAGTCTATAGTCTAGTCTATAGTCTAGTCTATAGTCTAGTCTATAGTCTAGTCTATAGTCTAGTCTATAGTCTAGTCTATAGTCTAGTCTATAGTCTAGTCTATAGTCTAGTCTATAGTCTAGTCTATAGTCTAGTCTATAGTCTAGTCTATAGTCTAGTCTATAGTCTAGTCTATAGTCTAGTCTATTCTAGTCTAGTCTATAGTCTAGTCTATAGTCTAGTCTATAGTCTAGTCTATAGTTAGTCTATAGTCTAGTCTATAGTCTAGTCTATAGTCTAGTCTATTAGTCTAGTCTATAGTCTAGTCTATAAGTCTAGTCTATAGTCTAGTCTATTAGTCTAGTCTATAGTCTAGTCTATAGTCTAGTCTATCGTCTAGTCTATAGTCTAGTCTATAGTCTAGTCTATAGTCTAGTCTATAGTCTAGTCTATAGTCTAGTCTATAGTCTAGTCTATAGTCTAGTCTATAGTCTAGTCTATTAGTCTAGTCTATAGTCTAGTCTATAGTCTAGTCTATTAGTCTAGTCTATAGTCTATAGTCTAGTCTATAGTCTAGTCTATAGTCTAGTCTATAGTCTAGTCTATAGTCTAGTCTATAGTCTAGTCTATAGTCTAGTCTATAGTCTAGTCTATAGTCTAGTCTATAGTCTAGTCTATAGTCTAGTCTATAGTCTAGTCTATAGTCTAGTCTATAGTCTAGTATAGTCTAGTCTATAGTCTAGTCTATAGTCTAGTCTATAGTCTAGTCTATAGTCTAGTCTAGTCTAGTCTATAGTCTAGTCTATAGTCTAGTCTATAGTCTAGTCTATAGTCTAGTCTATAGTCTAGTCTATAGTCTAGTCTATAGTCTAGTCTATAGTCTAGTCTATAGTCTAGTCTATAGTCTAGTCTATAGTCTAGTCTATAGTCTAGTCTATAGTTAGTCTATAGTCTAGTCTGTAGTCTAGTCTATAGTCTAGTCTATAGTCTAGTCTATAGTCTAGTCTATAGTCTAGTCTATAGTCTAGTCTATAGTCTAGTCTATAGTCTAGTCTATAGTCTAGTCTATAGTCTAGTCTATAGTCTAGTCTATAGTCTAGTCTATAGTCTAGTCTATAGTCTAGTCTATAGTCTAGTCTCTAGTCTATAGTCTAGTCTATAGTCTAGTCTATAGTCTAGTCTATAGTCTAGTCTATAGTCTAGTCTATAGTCTAGTCTATAGTCTAGTCTATAGTCTAGTCTATAGTCTAGTCTATAGTCTAGTCTATAGTCTAGTCTATAGTCTAGTCTATAGTCTAGTCTATAGTCTAGTCTATAGTCTAGTCTATAGTCTAGTCTATAGTCTAGTCTATAGTCTAGTCTATAGTCTAGTCTATAGTCTAGTCTATAGTCTAGTCTATAGTCTAGTCTATAGTCTAGTCTATAGTCTAGTCTATAGTCTAGTCTATAGTCTAGTCTATAGTCTAGTCTATAGTCTAGTCTATAGTCTAGTCTATAGTCTAGTCTATAGTCTAGTCTATAGTCTAGTCTATAGTCTAGTCTATAGTCTAGTCTATAGTCTAGTCTATAGTCTAGTCTATAGTCTAGTCTATAGTCTAGTCTATAGTCTAGTCTATAGTCTAGTCTATAGTCTAGTCTATAGTCTAGTCTATAGTCTAGTCTATAGTCTAGTCTATAGTCTAGTCTATAGTCTAGTCTATAGTCTAGTCTATAGTCTAGTCTATAGTCTAGTCTAGTCTATAGTCTAGTCTATAGTCTAGTCTAG